ATCTATATAAATAAAAATGTAATGTTCGTTTGTTCCTACCGATTCCTTTGAAATTTTGACACAACGCTGCATTTGAATACGCACGTGTTTTTATAGAATATACATGGGAAACAGTATATTGGGGGATTCAGTGGGTTATATTATATAATATATAATATAACCCACTGAAGGAAGATGGTTAGGTTTAAGGCTTACAGTAAAGAACTCTGCTTGTATTTATACTATTTTAGATGCGGGTTTTTGCGTTTTTGATTGCGTTTTAATAGGGTACNTCCCCCACTGAAGGAAGATGGTTAGGTTTAAGGCTTACAGTAAAGAACTCTGCTTGTATTTATACTATTTTAGATGCGGGTTTTTGCGTTTTTGATTGCGTTTTAATAGGGTATGTCAAGAGAATGTACACTAAGAAGAAATTTTTCGAAAAATTCTCCCCCCACGGGGGAAGTGTTATATATTTAAATAGATACATTTTGAACCACAACAACGCGTGGCGGGGGTCTGCTAGTAATTTATAAACCCGTTACCACAAACTTCTTTCATTAATACTGCTTAAAGGTCGGCCGGATAGCCGAGCAAACAATGTGGCAGCCTACCGCTCTGTGGAACTAGAATCAAATCTAGACAGGTCGAAAAATCCCGAAGAATTTGTCGGCGGGTGGTCTGTCTGGATATGTTGGGCCTGATTCTTCATCACGCTGCCTCCCCGTTGTGGGCCTGGTCGAACACATAATGGGTTTTCTAAAAGAGACCCACTTAGTGCTCACAGGGAAGAAAGAGTTAAATAAAAAAGGATATTGTGTGAGATCCAAAAGGCCCCTGGGTCTTCATAATAATTTTTATTGATAATGTTAAAATATTGTCACAAAATATTACTTCATTTTTGTGAAAAACTAGTGTTTTGGACGTGGGAAAAACCCAGATAACAGATGTTACTTCCTTTCACAGAAGAGAACATCCTCTGACTTTCCCTTATCTGGTTAAAAATCTCACTCAGATGGGAAATGATTACCCCTCATTCATTCCCCTTTCATCCGTTCTCACGAAAGAGTTACTGGCCGATGATTGGTCGGTATTCCGAAGATATACAGGGACTTTATATCACATAATTGTATCATATATTTGTAATGATATTAGTTAGTAAGGATGCAATACACACTACGCTGTTGCTTATAAAATTATTTTGACAAATCGGTTATGAAAAATCACAGTAATTGTCATAAATAATTTGTATCGATTAATATTGTTCATTATATTGTTACGTAGATATAATGGCAATTTTACGACTATTATTACAAGAAAATTATCGTAAACAACAACAATAAATAGATAAATTATTTTTCAGTTGGCTTTTCCCGATAATAATCAAAGGAACGAAGCGATTTTTAAAAGAAGAAGATTTGTACGAGACTTCAAAATATCACACTTCGGAGTATCTTGGAGATCTACTTCAGAAGTAAGTTTATGAATTTGTAATAAAAAGTGTGATTAAATTAAAAACTTTTCTAAATTATGCAATAAGAAATAAATGAGTTATTTTTTTCTGTTAACTTTCAAACACATTAATGATTACATTATTTGAAATTAAACTAACGGTGATTATTGTGTATGAAATTGAAATTATTTATTGAACTGCACAATAAATATGATCATTTGCTATTGTAAATACAGTATTTTGTATTTCAGATTTAAAATTAAATCACAAAATATAGTCAAGTTTTTATTTAAATAAATTGTACGGGTCTGATGTGCTTTCTTTTTTTGCAAAAGTAAAGTAAGCCAAATTTATAAAGGTATTTATTCCACTGTTTTATTGGCAGACAATCAAATGTAAACTTTCTCAAAAATGTAAATAATTGCAAACATAATCAGCCAAATGATCGATAATGGAGAAAAACCTAATACTATGCAGAGTTCCAATGTGTATTAATTAACTGTTACTAAAACTATTAACTGTTGCTTTCCATGATATTCTAATAAGAAATTCACATTATTAATGTCAACATTCTTGGTTACACATCATTTGTTATATTCGAAACAGGCTCAAACACAGGAAGATCAAAAACTGCATCAGGAAACAATTTCCACCAGACACTATTCACATATAACTGTCACAATTCTCTTCTGTGTGAATCTTTGCAAGGAAAGTGAATATAAAAAAGTCTTGCTGTATTCAGTTTTGTATTCAGAAATTAATAGTAAGGTTGCGGCCGACGTTCCAAACTTTCCAAACGCCATTGTCAAACGTCTAGGCTTACAGGAAGGCTGTGCTGAACGTCCAACGTACACGTTTTCGCATTGAAAACTTCGGCCGCAACCTCTCTAATAAATGGTTTAGGAGTACACATGAATTAATACATATTACATACAGAAGTGCATATTGTTTAGGTTAAATTCGAATTTTTTTTCCAGAGAGTGGAACAAAGAACTACAGAAAAGAAATCCAAGCATATTGAAAGCTTTATTACGATTTGTTGGATGGCAATCCTTAATAATAGTGTTCCTTTTACTTATCCAGGTACTGTGAAAATTGATTTAATTAATATACCTAAAGCACATATTAAAATAATGACATTTACATACATTTTGTTTTGGACGTGGGAAAAACCCAGATAACAGATGTTACTTCCTTTCACAGAAGAGAACATCCTCTGACTTTCCCTTATCTGGTTAAAAATCTCACTCAGATGGGAAATGATTACCCCTCATTCATTCCCCTTTCATCCGTTCTCACGAAAGAGTTACTGGCCGATGATTGGTCGGTATTCCGAAGATATACAGGGACTTTATATCACATAATTGTATCATATATTTGTAATGATATTAGTTAGTAAGGATGCAATACACACTACGCTGTTGCTTATAAAATTATTTTGACAAATCGGTTATGAAAAATCACAGTAATTGTCATAAATAATTTGTATCGATTAATATTGTTCATTATATTGTTACGTAGATATAATGGCAATTTTACGACTATTATTACAAGAAAATTATCGTAAACAACAACAATAAATAGATAAATTATTTTTCAGTTGGCTTTTCCCGATAATAATCAAAGGAACGAAGCGATTTTTAAAAGAAGAAGATTTGTACGAGACTTCAAAATATCACACTTCGGAGTATCTTGGAGATCTACTTCAGAAGTAAGTTTATGAATTTGTAATAAAAAGTGTGATTAAATTAAAAACTTTTCTAAATTATGCAATAAGAAATAAATGAGTTATTTTTTTCTGTTAACTTTCAAACACATTAATGATTACATTATTTGAAATTAAACTAACGGTGATTATTGTGTATGAAATTGAAATTATTTATTGAACTGCACAATAAATATGATCATTTGCTATTGTAAATACAGTATTTTGTATTTCAGATTTAAAATTAAATCACAAAATATAGTCAAGTTTTTATTTAAATAAATTGTACGGGTCTGATGTGCTTTCTTTTTTTGCAAAAGTAAAGTAAGCCAAATTTATAAAGGTATTTATTCCACTGTTTTATTGGCAGACAATCAAATGTAAACTTTCTCAAAAATGTAAATAATTGCAAACATAATCAGCCAAATGATCGATAATGGAGAAAAACCTAATACTATGCAGAGTTCCAATGTGTATTAATTAACTGTTACTAAAACTATTAACTGTTGCTTTCCATGATATTCTAATAAGAAATTCACATTATTAATGTCAACATTCTTGGTTACACATCATTTGTTATATTCGAAACAGGCTCAAACACAGGAAGATCAAAAACTGCATCAGGAAACAATTTCCACCAGACACTATTCACATATAACTGTCACAATTCTCTTCTGTGTGAATCTTTGCAAGGAAAGTGAATATAAAAAAGTCTTGCTGTATTCAGTTTTGTATTCAGAAATTAATAGTAAGGTTGCGGCCGACGTTCCAAACTTTCCAAACGCCATTGTCAAACGTCTAGGCTTACAGGAAGGCTGTGCTGAACGTCCAACGTACACGTTTTCGCATTGAAAACTTCGGCCGCAACCTCTCTAATAAATGGTTTAGGAGTACACATGAATTAATACATATTACATACAGAAGTGCATATTGTTTAGGTTAAATTCGAATTTTTTTTCCAGAGAGTGGAACAAAGAACTACAGAAAAGAAATCCAAGCATATTGAAAGCTTTATTACGATTTGTTGGATGGCAATCCTTAATAATAGTGTTCCTTTTACTTATCCAGGTACTGTGAAAATTGATTGAATTAATATACCTAAAGCACATATTAAAATAATGACATTTACATACATTTGCAGGAAACAGCCGTAATTTCAGGCCAAGTATACTTATTGGGATTAATAGTACATTATTTTGACAACAGACTGCAATGGAATCAACACAATACATATGTAATGGTTGCAGGATTTTTCGGCATACTTTTGATTCACTTGTTTACAAGTAGTATTACTGGCTTTTTGTCAGAATTATATGGAATGAAATTAAAGGTAGCTTTTTGCACTGTTATTTATAAAAAAGTGAGTATCAAACTAGCAGTTATTTTTTATGACATTCGGGTTGCAATTCTTGTTAGAATAGTCTGAATTTTAGTAGTCTCTTGCCCCTGTACATCATACGTTTCCTGTTAACAATACAGTCATACTGGTAACCTTTCTAACTCTGCCCAGGAGAAACATTTTGAATTAAAACGACGTGATTTCCGGTCTAAATAAAAAAGTTTTTATATAGTTAATCTGGGCATATTGCAACTACGCTTTCTGTACCTAGTGTAAACGTCCATCTGTCTAATTAGCCCTTATGTTCTCGAGATTAACTAGGGACCGTCAGGCGTATGGACGGATCGGTAGAAATGTATAGGTCTGCAATTTTTGAAAATTACTGCCGAAAACATTTGAAAAAGCTGTCTTTTTTTTTTTCAAAAGTTGATTTTTTTAATAAAAGTTTTGAGAATAATCTGAAATATTCAATATTTCATTATCTATATCAGGTTAAAACAGTGAGTGGGACGCTAATAGCTAACTAACAGTAAGTGCCACAAATTTAAAGGGCTTAGATTGTGATAATCTGTATTAGTCGTCATTAGTTTTAAGCTCACCCAATTTTTCATCTCAATGTTATCTAACACCGTCAACATTTTAATCATAAATATAAACTTTTCGACACACAAAACATTTTATTTCTCAACTGTCCGATCCAGAAAGCATTTCAAACGAAATACTTTCACATATTAAACTCTCAAATTGAAAATTAGAAAATCACATTATTTATTGTGACATGGTCTCAATACCGTGCTGCGATTTTTAATCATAGTTAAAAAATCAAATTAATAGTTACTTGTCCCTGTACATCATACTTTCCTGCTATAGTAAGTCGTGCCGGTAATTTATTTAATACCTTTTTGGACAAAGTTTTCTATTGAAATGACGTGTCTTCTTGTTTTCATGGGAAGTTCTTATATAGTTAATCGGGGTGTCACGCCTTAATGGCCTATTGCATTAAACTGAAGACGTTTGTATTTGTTTAATAAAACGTTTATCAGCAATATAATGTGATTTTGATAGTTTATTAAGTGTAAAAAGCTGAGTTTGATTAGTTGTTTTTCATTATTTGTTTATTTTATATAAAATTTTTTATGCAGGCAATTAGGTTAAGTCCTTCGTCTCTAGTGAAGTCAAATGTCGGACAAATGGTAAATCTTCTTGCAAATGATGTCAGCAAATTTTATAATGTAAGTTAAATCTAATTTTCTAAAGAATAACAATATGTTTACTATATTAATTTTTTCATGAAGTGTAAATAGTATTATACGACCTTTGCAGTCATTGCTGTACAGTGTGTACTCGTGCATGCCAGTATACTGTTCCATTCTCTTTACGCACACTCTTCATGTTGTCTGAAAATGATTCAATGCACGGCTATACTTTGCTAAAATTGATTGATAAACGTGCCAAAAATTTAACTAATGTGCTGTAATAATTGCATTTGATGTCTGCTCTCATATTTATTGCAAATACTCGGATCACGTATTATAGGAATATTTATAATTGTCGATTTATTATGCTGTATAAAAAATGCAAGCAAATATAGTTTAGTCACTGGATGAAATACTTGTAGTAATTTGTAATGCATTTTCTTTATGAATAGACCCTATAAATAGCCCTAGCATTTACCCTATAAATAGACCACTATTTTTGTATGTGTCATAGATTTGATCAGAAATTACAGTGCAAAAAAATATGGTGGAAACTGAAATTTACAGACTCAGTATTTTTGCTTGTCGAGTGTGAATTGTTAATGGCAACTAATATCTACCATAAAACCTTTTTACTAGAATACCTGTTCATTAGAAGCAAATTATTGGTATTAAACTTTTAAGTCAATACAGTAAATGATGTGTACTGTATGATCTTATGGAATTGATCACAAAGCGACCACCTAGTTCTGAATTATCCAGAAATCTTTGGAGTGTGTTAAATAGAATTCAGACAAAACATGGAATATGTAGGGACAGTCTTTTTAGGTGGGGAAAAGTTACATCCCCAAAGTGTGATTTTAGTGCTGAAAGACAGACTATACGTCATAATTTGGAAGATTGTCCAATAAGATCCTATCTGGGACAACAGAGTGACTTCCTGATTGTGACTGAATGTACTCTAAACTATGTTTCTGACTTAGATTTATATTTATGATTTGTGTCCTTTTTTACTTGTTGTTCCTTTTACTAACTAGATGTATAGACATACGCTAAATAAATAATTAAAGAATTGTATGTTTAAAGGCTTTACTGGTGCAAAAAATTATCTTTTGGTTTCTTTGAGGAACGTTTCGAGTTTTTCATAATTTATTTCCAGCTGAACTTGTTGAACGTTCACCCATGCTATCATGAAGTATGATGTGTTTCCACGGGATCTCCCCTTTGACACTGTTCTGTAAACAAAACAATTCCAAATTTCATCATAAGTTGTAACGTATTATGATGAAATTTTGCAAGTTCAGAGATGATGCATTGCACAAATTTTCAGTCACCAAATTTGAGGAACAACATATAGATGCTGCCTAATGATGTGTGCAACGACAGACAAAAATCATTGTACATATGCGATTCTGTAAAAAGTGCAAGTGATTGTAGATTCAAGATTCTGAATGCTTCTCAGAACTTCCAAATACCAAACTTTTCACTTCGGTACAGTAAGAACTCGTCTAGGGCTTAGGATGCGTTCGTAGACGAGAAAGCGCTAAATGAAACAGCGTTAAACGAAGTCATTTTAACACATAATAAATGGAGAAAAAAGAACACGCGGCCAAAAGTAAATAAATTTAATTTTAATATTTTTATATTAATTTGCATAATAATATATGTTAAATAACACCTAAACATATACATACATAAATGTAAAGTTTATTTTTTGCGATGAAGTCGTTTAATTTCATTTGACGGTTTCTTTTTCTTTCCTTAAGCAAATGTCGGTAGCAGAATATCGCATTCAAAGTGGATTGTTTTGCTTTTGCACCCCTTTCGAATTTTTGATCATTCGCTAAATTTTTATCAACGATTTCGGTTATCGTTACCAAACTTTTACTAAGGAAATCTGTAGAGAAATTCTATAGGCTCTTCTTTTTCAGAATCTCTATTTTCCAGTTCCTTGTTCTGCCACTTTTTGAAGGTCGTCGTTCTTAAGACTCTCACCAGAAACCCGCAGTAACTCCTCAATATCCTGCTCGTCTACATCTCCTAGTCCTGCTGTATTGATTAGGTTGACGATTTGGTAAACTGTAGTCTCTTCTTGTCGAGAATTCTTGGATACCTCCAGCCATGTCTTCTTTTACACTCCGTTTATGTATTTATCAATTAATTTTTGAGAAGCAGAATCGATATTGCCTATGGCATACATGTTGTTATAGTTTTTCTTTTTTTAAATTGCACCGGATAAACATAGATTTAAGTCAAGTACAGCGCTACAAGGAATTGCCACCTTTCGATAATTGGTTTGTGTTCGTAAATAATCGTATTATGTACGAATGAATGAAATCCCGCGATAATTTAAATCGGCGTTAATTTTGAGCTTATTTTAGGCTTCGAGCAGACCACATTATATCGAATCAGCGTTAATCCAGAAAGCGCTAAACGTGGTCTTACTGTACTGTACATGTAATCACTTAGATGGCCAATCAATGATCATCAAACTACGTGAATGATCTCAGGACACATAAGTCGCAATTAGTTTATGAAAATATATTCTACACACGAGTGTCTTGGCATCGTTGTTGGTGGAAATGTAATTCTGATATCTGTAATGCGATACTGTTTTTCACGATAATGGACAAAAATCTCATAACAGTATTAAATTTTCAATAAATAGAAATGACTGTTTTGTGTTACTTGTTCTTTTTTATAAGAATAACTCTTACACAAGAGGAAAAACTGTAAACAAAAATACAGTAAGACCCTGTTTAACGCTGATTCGGTATAACGCGGTCTGCTCGAAACCTAAAAAAAGGCTGAAAATTTACGCCTATTAAAATTATCGCGGCATTTCATTGATTCGTACAAGATACGATTATTTACGAACACGAACTTATCAGCAAAAGGTGGCAGTTCGTTATAGCTCTATACTTCCCTGAAATCTATGTTTGTTTGGTGCAATTTAAAAAATAAATTAATATATAAGAACATGAATGCCATGGGCAATATGGACTTGGCTTGGCAAGAAATAACTGATAAATGCTCTAATGGAGTTTCGAAAAAGTTATGGCTGAAGGTATCCAAGAATTTTCAACGAGAAGAGTCTATCACTGTATCGTTAGGTTGACCAAACTCTCAACCTAATCGATGCAACAGGACTAAGAGATGTAGACGAGCAGGATATTGTGGAGTTACTGCGGGGTTTTTGGTGAGAGCCTTAACAATAACGACCTTCAAACACTGGCAGAACAAAAATCAACTGATAAACTTCCGATATACTTGTATTCTGTTTACATACTGTCTACTTTTCAGAACTGAATGTAAAGTGGAAAAGAAGTCTAAAAGGCAGAAAAAAATAATTGAAAACAATGCAGTCAATATGAAATGTACAGTAAAGCAATGTCTATCACATTGAAAACATATATAACTTACTGAAATTGTCGAAAATTAAAAACCCTGTAATCCACGATATTAAACAATCTGATAACACTGGCTCTGTAGGTGACAGATTGTATATTTTCAACCATAAAAAGGTAGTTTGTGCCTATTTAATGTGTTTAATATAGTTTATGATTTCCTGAACACTTATACTGCATAAATAAAATTTTGTCTACTATCAGCAAGTTGGGCATGAGCTTCTAGATTATATCGCCCAGTGGTAAAGTGGGACGTAATGAAAATATATATTAAGTATAATAAAATTATCAGTTATTTTATGTATATGTAACATTTTTATTTATTACAGAGAATCGTCACCGTTCCATTCTTACTTTCAAATCCTTTTTTCATCATTACTGCGATAGTAATGATGTGGCAATATTATGGATGGACTATTTTAGTAGGATTCTCCATCATATTTCTGTACATTCCTATACAACTTGCATTAAGTAAACTATATTCAAAACTGAGGTAATTATTATTTTTAATTTATATAATTTCAATTTAAGAAATAATAATATATATTTTTACAATGGGAAATATTTATATTTAAATCATAATATAATAATAATAGATTACAAGCAGCAATATTGGGAGATAAAAGATTAAACCTGTTGAACGAGATGATTGCTGATATGAGATTGATTAAAATGTACACCTGGGAATTGCCATATTCTGCATTAATTGAAAAAATCAGAATGTAAGTGTTATACAATAACACCTGTCTAAACTGTAATTTAAATAAAATGTTAACCTATGTATAAAGAAAAACGTCTTCCGAATGAAGTGCTTTTCTATGATGAAAAGAAACCCTTTTAAAACAGTAGTATTTTAAAGTGGAAATAATATCGAGTACCATGCGAGTTTGGTTTTCACAGTTCGTACTGAAGTTACACATATATTTTCTTAATAATTATTTAATACTTTTAATATTTTTACAATCTGTATTAATTAATTGTTTATATTTGCAGAAAAGAAATGAAAAAAATACGAATGTTTTTATATACCAGAGAGATGTCAGTAATGTTGTCATATCCCATCTCGAAATTGTTTACGTCTGTCACATATCTTGCATTTTTTTTAACTGGAGGACAATTAAATGCCCAAATTGTATTTGTCACCATGACTTTATCCTTTTTCATCTTCGTTAGTATTATAAATCAATTTTCTTCTGCAATAAATTTTATTGCGGAAGTTTTCGTATCCTTAAAGAGAATCCAGGTAATTAAAAGTTTCAAATAACGTACACAAAGAAAAGATAATTATCAACAAAATTATTATAAATATAAATATAAATGTAATTATTATATTTAGTTGAAATTTTATTATTGAATATCGATTTACAAATTATTTGAGAATGTTAATATTTAATAAAAAAATTAATATTATTGTAAATTCAGATGTAAATACAAAAACTCGTCTGAGACGATAAACTTCCTAAATTGGAAAAATATAATAGCCAGAACTTTACACTAAGCCAGAGACTTTTCTATTATGAAAAGAGAAAAGGCATTGGGTATTAAGAATGTAATATAACCTGAATAAAGTAGAAAATTAATACGGTATTTCACTTTTAAAAAACTTCTACACATCTCCTGATAAACTGTATTGTTACAAAGAGTTCAAATGTTATCATGATAATGAACACCATGTGACAAAGGACATACTGACGTAAGCTATGTGTGTGTGTATGTGTGTTTAGAAAGTGTTATCGCTTATCTAATTAACGTACGTGTACGTACAATTCATCTTTGAACTAAATTATCAACGAAGAATTAAAATGACTCGCTATTTCGTCGGAAAAAATGCCTAAGCGTAAGAGTAAAATTGGTCAGGTAACTTCTAGATCTAAAGGAATTAGAACAACCGAGACCCCCAGAAGGCTGTGAAGTCCGACTTCAGCAACATCGAGTAAGAATGGCTTTGTCAGGGGCTACAGAAACAGCATCACAATGTCAAGATCGACTTGAAGCTCTTTTCAATTGTTCAATCTCTACTTTTTCATAAAAAACCATTTCATCATTGATATAAACATCACCGAAACCCTATTCTTAGCAAATACACTCCCACAATTGCCGTAAGTAATCGGGCTATAGTGTGTCCCCAGTCGGCGCCGTATTAACCGTCGATGGTTATTTATTAGGCTTATATATACTGGAAGAGGAAAAAATCTTAAACCTTCTCCAGAAAAACCAACCACGAGAAAATATCCTTCTCAGTCTTACGGTTTTCTCGTGGTTGGTTTTATAAATACGTTTGAAAGTATGTTTAACTTTTACTTTTCTTTAAATACACTATACCACTTTGAATTCTAAATTTTTCAAATTTTAATTTAGNAAACCCTGCCCAGTACCAAGGGATTGTTTTATTGCTGTTTGACGTAAAGATATTTCTACAGCAGGGACATCTATCTTCTTTCGTTAAAAATTTCTCTTTGTAAACACTGAATTAAGAATTTGCATAAAATTGTTTTAAAATACCTGTTTTAGTATCAAGTTTATAAAAGCCATCCTCTGTTTTACTAAAAACCACAGCTAAAACTGAACGTGCATCACTTTTTGCTCTGTCTTTCTCGGGTACTTTAATTCTCACAGTGACACCTTCATCGACGTTTGGGTGCTTTGCATTAGAAACTGCTAACATTTTCTTTGCTTGCTTTTCTAAACCTTTCTTGGCTTCATCACGCTGTATTTTCTGATCCATATTCTTTTTACAGGTAATTTGAGGAATAGAACAATTTTAGCAACTTTAACGGATCACCTTAGTTATTGTGCAGATTAGCTAGGTAATGTGCACATTAACGGATTTCGAGCTTTAGCGGTAACATATATACTGGAAGAAAAAAAAAAAAACCTTAAAACTTCTCTAGAAAAACCAACCACGAGAAAATATTCTTCTCAGTATTACGATTTTCTCGTGGTTGGTTTTAAAGTATTTTTAACTTTTACTTTTGTTTTAAATACACTATACAACTTTAAATTCTAAACTTTTCAAATCGTAATTTAGGATTATCTCGTCCTTGAAGAAACAGACAGCAATGCCTTGAAAATTGTAGAGGAAAGATCAAATTTAACCGAGTTTGGTATATGGATGAACAATGTCACTGCTGCATGGAGGAAAGTAAGATATATTTTAAATTTCACTTTATATTACTTATGAAATGATCGTGATATTCATTACAATTTCCATAAGTCATCTCATTTAAAAAAATACTTCTTATCATGAAACAACCAATGTGGTAATCGAAAGCTATGAAAAGTACACAATATAAAACATCCATTCTTAATACTTTTGCATTTAATACATAATACTAAACACCCGGTCAGTAAGACCTTCGTGTTTTTAAAAAGCTATATGTATCTATAAAGAAACAGTGACAAACTGAACAGTAACACATGCTTAGTGTAGGCAAGTAGTTTATAATAAGGTATTTGGGGGCAAGATATACTTGGAAAAAGTCCTACTAAACTGTAGCCTAACATAACTACTGCATAGTTTATCAATTTTGTTGTTTAAACTATATCATAATTTCACATTACTAATACAATTTTACCGTATAAAAAGGGAACCGAACCAACTTTGAATGACATAACTATGAATGTGCAGCCAGGAGAATTATTAACTGTTACAGGTCCTGTTGGATCAGGAAAGGTAAATATCTTCTTTCTTTCTTTACTCATTGTCGAATGTTTAATTCTATTTCTTTTGTACACAAAAATGGCAGACTATTTTATGAGATGTATAAGAAATACATTCATTGATTGTAACGAAAATATTCCGGGCATGTACAATTTAACTTCTGATATGATTTAATTATTATATACTCGTATATAAAAGTTTACTTTAGAAATAAAATGTAAAGCTAAATGACTTTAATCTTTAAGTTATTGTTATGTTTTAATGCTATATGTTCTGTCATTGTTTAGTATGTGTGCGACTTTTAATAAATACCGTTAGTATTTGAAATATTTGTTAGTATTGTGAATAATTTCGAAATATTTATTCACTTATCTCATTCATACAAAATATTTTATAATACTTATTTATTAATTTAATTAGACGTCTTTATTAATGTCCATATTGGGAGAGATTCCTATCACTTCTGGTAAAGTGACAGTGAAAGGAAAGATCTCTTATGNTCTATCTGTAAAACAAATGTCGCAACACTAAGAAAATTTAATTATTTCATGTTTATTTTTCAGGTTACGTGATAAAAGAATTTATAGTGAAAATATAAATAAACTGGAAAATATTACAAATAAGACAAGAATTCATAACAACAATGAAGACATAAATTTTTATCATAGTGAAGAATTCAACATATATGTTTACTTTGGATTAATATGTGTAGTATTTCTAACATCATCACTTTCTGGATCATTAGTGTATGAGATGTTTACATCTGCATCTAGGACACTTCACAACAATATGTTCCGTTGTATTATTCGAACTCCAATATCATTTTTGGATAACAATCCCGTCGGTAGGTAAAATATATATATTTTAAATTCATTATTGAGTTAAATGTATTTGGATAAAACTTGAAGAGACATTTTCCTAAAAAAGTGAAGAAACTTAATACAATTTACACGGATTTCTTTTCTTAAATTTTGAGTAAAGGAGATTGAAATGAAGAAGTTTGATTCAGTTTATTCTTATAGATGCAATGGAATATAAATTAATCAATTTGCAGACACTAAACAATGCTCATTTTGGATAAACCAGAAGCAGCACACACATTATTTAAGATAAATTAACACAATTAAATGCCCAATATAATAAAGTATGAAAACAATAAATGAAATAAGGAAATACTTTATAGTAAGATAATTATTGTATTTACTCTGCATTAATTAGAAATGATGATGTCTCGTTGTTTAAAGTTCATTATGCAGCTGTTTGGCTTTCTTGCAAATAGTTCGCTCGAAGATAATTTCATCAGTCAATTTCTTTTCAT